ATGGATAAAAAAAGTAAAAACTGAATCTTGCAAAACTAAAATGTAGGTTTGGCTTTAAGGTGTACTAACCTTCTAGAAAGACTTGAACTTTGCATAATCTTGAAACCTTTCTTGTATGTCACAACTTGGCCTTCTTTCTTAAAGAAAATTTAGAGTTTTTCTTCAACAAAAAGTCATGTTTTGCCACCCCTCTTAGCACTCCTTTTATATCATGCAAATATTACCCCAAATAGAAATAGGAATACAATTCTACTTAGAATAGGAAATACAAATCCAAATCCAAATCCAAATAGCAAAAATCAAGGGGTGTTTAGTCTTTTCCCATGTAAATAGAATTACCACCTCATCATGCCACATAACATCCAAGTCATCTTTTTTTAACCAATAAGAAAAGACATTTTACCATGTCATCAATTAGTAATCCCATGTACCTACATAAGCTACCATGGACTTGCATTCACTTGAAATTATAATTTTACCCATCTTTATAGCCGAAAATGCTTAGCTTGATTCTCGTATGAATTTTCTCAACTTTTCATCAAGATTGAACAATTCCAACTCCTTTAAATTTGGCTAAACCAATCTTGAACAATTTTTCACTTCAAGATTTTCAAGAAATTCAAAATTCACCAAGTACATTCCAATACATCAAGAATCATTCAAGATTGATAAAAAATGACCAAAATTCTTCAAGATTCAACAAAATTCAATCTTTCATTCAAGATTTCCTACAAAATAGAAAATTAAGCCCATTAGAAGAAAAAATAACCTTATTTACCTAAGAACTAAGCAAAAATTAATCATTTAAGCACTAAGAACTAGTCTAAATAACTTTATTGCATAGAGTTATCACTTAGCAAACACATCCTTTTTCATCTTTTAAACTGAGAGTTTCTTTTCCCCCTTTTTTTATTTTTCTTTGATAGACTTTCCTCTCTTTTTTTTGGACTCTTTCCTTTTTTTTCTTTTTTTTTTTTGTAATGATGCAAATGCAATGCTTTTTTTTTCATGATGCAAATGCTCAATGCAAAGATGTAAATACAAAAATCTCTTACCAATGAATTTGTTTTGACAAAAGTATGTGACTTTTATCAAAATACAACTTTTATGGCTACCCTTACTATGGTAGATGCAAGAATTCTCAAAGAATATGCAACGTGTAAATATTTGCTCTAAGGATGCACAACGCAAGCACTTATCCAAACATGTGAATGCATATCCTAACTTTGATAATGTGAAAGCATTGATCCTTACAACCATCAAAATGCAAACAAAAAACCTTATTCCAAGAAAACAATCATAAATGATCAACTATCATGATGTGAAATGCCAATGACCTTTATCATGATGCAATTGCAAGTGTCTTTATGTAAATATAGATATGTTTTCCAACATGTACATGCAAAGATGAACATGCGAAGATCTTGACTAATGATGGAAATAACATTCCCTTTCTATGATGCAAATGCCTTTACAAGGATACAAATGCGAATACTTATCCCAACAATGAAAATGTTTCCTTTAAGGCTACTCATATAAATTCCTAACTACTAGTGCAAATGCCTTCTAACTAAAATGCAAATGCAAATATTTATTCTCACATTCCAACTATTTTTTTGCATAGGTGCAGATGCAAGTTTCTATCCTAACAATGCAAATTCCTTCTAATTAAAGTGCAAATGCTTATTTTGATGATGCAATTACCTTTTTCTATGATGAAGATGCATGCTAAAAAATGTAAGTGCTAGAAAATTTTCTTTTTCCTTTTCATTTTTTAACTTTGCTTGTTTTCCCGTTCATCTCATTAGTTATTCAATTTCTCCATAATGGATTTGCTTTTAATTTCTTTTTGCCATTCTCTTCATTCTTTCATCTATCTTCCTTGTGGTCTCTTTACCAACTTCTATTCTATTTTCTTCTCAAATAAGGTTTCTTGGTTTTTCCTTCCTTTTTACTACAAATTTCTTTTCCCTTTTTGCTTCCATCATTAATTCCAACATAGCACATACGTATGATCGCCATCAACTTAATGTATGTATTATGTAAAAGTCAAAAAGAAAACAATTGTGTTCCTCCTACTCTTTGAGTGCATGAAAGAATCTATTTTTCTTATTTCAAGGTTTTTTTTTCCTTTAATGGAAACCATAGTTTTATTTATACCTAGTTTAAATGATTTCTTTATTCATTACAAAAATACCTAACTGTCATTCAAAATGTTTCAAAATAACCAACAAAATTGCCCCATATAATTAAATTCCATAACCAAAGATAATGAAGTAACTAGGTTCAAAACAAATAGGCATGCTCTTTTATTTGTACACTAGTCATGGTGTTGGTCTGAAGTAGCTAAGTAAAGACTTGATATATCCTAGATAAGGTTTAAAGATTTGATTCCTCTAATATCCTATTTACTATCTTTAAACCAAGTTTTTTGGTAAAGACAAGATTGTGACCATGAAATCGACACCGATTCTTAGAATATAAATAAGTGGCAACTCCTAATCAAGCTTTAAATGTCAACATTGAAATGAGTGTTAAGGGGCAAAACTCAAACCACTCATAATAATAAAATAAATCGAATTAAACTTTCATAAAAATAAAAATAAGATAAATCTGATGATGAAATTCTAAGAAATCAAGAATGGTAATTTTCTTAGAAAATTTTAGGTGAAAAAATATTTTTAAATATTTTCAAAATGGTGAAAATTTTTAATATATTTTTAACAAAATAAATGAATTATAATAAAAATTAGAAAAGAAATTAAATAAATAAAATGTTTAATAAATTCGATGATAAAGTCTCTTTAAGTGAACGAATGAGTTCTCTAAATACTTTCAAGTTGAGAAAAATTTTTAAGAATTTCACAGAATGGTAAGGAAGACCTAAAATTTTTTCCAATATTTAAATGATAGACCTTAAATTAAACAAACAGACCATTTTAACCATGATAATTTTGAGGATAATTTAAAATTAGTTATTACTAGTTTATTTAGATGTTGTGAAGTGCTAATACCTTTTTTACACATAAGAACTTTCGAACCTAATTTTGATAAATAGGTTGAAATCTTTTTTTTCAAAGAACTTGAGTCAAGTTTAGGATTTTTTTAAAGAGTTTAAATTCACTTAGATAACCAGTTACACTAAAAAAAAAAGTGACGACTCATAATTTTATGTTTAGCGATTGAATTTACGAATTTGTATATTATAACAGTTTAGCTACTCTACTAAAGTCATTCAAGAGTTAAGTCATTGACTAAATTTAGAATATCTTTTTTTGTTACTTTATTTATTTATTTATTTTTATAATTATTGGACAGTTTCTTAAAATTTGTTTTTTCACACACACGTCCCATAACATATCTTATCCACCGTTGCTTTCATAAGTCTATTACCTAATCTCATCCATCCATTTTTTCTTCTATCTCCAAATTGATTGTGTTTTTTGTTGTTTGTATTGATTTTTCCTTTTGTAATTGATTATTTGGATTTTTTTAATTTTAAAGTTGTACATATAATGAAAGTTGTTTGTAATGGTGTAACTTTTTTTTTTTTAATCAAATTTTGTATAACCTAAATACATATGACTTGCCCACTTCATTTTAGAATAAAAAATGTTTAATGTGAGATGAATACCTTCTGTACCACATGGGTATATTTTGTCTAAGTTATTACTATTATTGATCTATGTTGTTATTAATATTTTGACAAGATTATTGATATGGATTAGGCATATACTTGAATCAAATTGTTTATCATTTTCCTTAATACTTAAATTGTTATATTTCTTTAATACACTTTAAATTTTGCTAATGTATGGTATGCAGTACTGGCTTCTCATATTGCCATGTGTCGTTTTTTTTTTATATTTTTTTAATTTAAAAAAGATTTAATAAATATGCTTTCAAAATATAAAAAATTTTATATTTTAATATTTTTATGTGTAGAATCCATTTATATTAATTTTTCTTTTTTTTTCCTTTTTAACTTTTTTCTTTTAAAAAATTTAATAAATATTTTTAAAATTATAAAAAAATATATTTTAAAGATTTTATTTTTGTAGGACTCACTAATACCAAAGTTTTTCTTTTCTTTTTTTATCCTTTTTAACTTTTTTATTTTGTAAAAAAATATTAAATTATATTTTTTAAATACTAAAAAATATATATTTTTAAAGATTTTATTTTTCATGAGTGGAATCTGCTTATAATAAACTTTTTTCACTTTTTAAATTCTTTTTAATATTTTACCTTCTTAAACAACTGTTTTAAAAAAAATTTCTTTAGATTTTTAAAAATTATAAAAATATATATATTTAAAAGATTTTATTTTTTATGGGACCCACTTATATAAAAAAAATTTACTTTTTCTTTCTGATCTTTTTAATTTTTTCCTTTTTAAAAAATATTTAATAAATATTTCCTAAAATTAGAAAATATATATTTTTTAAGATTTTATTTAGTATGTGTAGCTCTAATTAAAATATACACATTCCATCCCCGTTTGTTTATTTGTTTCCTTCATTTTTAAATTTTATAAATTTTACAAAAAGATAAAAGATGAATAGATCAAAACAAAATAAAATATTAGATTAAATCAAATAATTCAGAACGTAACGTGATATAATATAAAAATAATATTGATTAAAATTTTAACAAAAAATATATATTTATATTTTTTATTAATATAAATTATAATAAATAACTTTTATATAATAAATATATAAATATTTATTATTTTATATAAAACAAATATATAAATTATTAAATTTACTTAACACGACATGTGAACATCTTTTTGATGACTAACAAATAATTTTCTTCTTAATTAATTAAGAAAAAAATAACCAATGCACGTAAGGCCACGTGGCAGAAAAAGCATGGAGATAAAAAACAATGGGCAATTAGTGACACGAGTCGCAACAAAGCAAAGCCACGTCAACCCATGATTTTCCCACTTTGTCGGCGATGCTGAAGCAACTTCATGAAAAGGGAGAGATGCAAACAAACCCAACCTTCTAAAAACAACATTCTAAAAACGGGAAAAAATAATAAAGAAAAGGATAGCTTCTTTCTTCTTTTTGTTGTTCTGGTAAGTTCATTATTATTTCTTCTTTCTGTCTTTTCGAATTTTTGGTGGTTAGTTTCTTCATGTTTTTTAAGGAAGATTGTTTTTGGGGTAATCGATGTTTCCAATTGTGGGACTGTTAGGTCCTTTCTTAACGGAATTACGTTTTTGTTTTTGTTTTATGGGTTTTTTAATATTATTATTCAATTGTTTTGCAGGGCATTATCATGAAAATGGGATTTTCATGGATGTGAATTTTGGGTGCAAAGAGCCATTAAAAAAATGGCTGCTGAGATTGAAACTCGTCACAGCTTTTGCAGCAACAACAACAACAACAACACTTGTTCTTCATATCACCATCTCTTGGAGGTCTGCTTTATGTGTAACAAGAACATTCTTGTTTGTCTTATTGGAATGAATTGATTTTACTTTTAAAAAGCAACCTTTTTCTATTATTCAAACACATGCAAGGCATGACATTTGATCAACAATTACATTTTGGACTCTTCCTTCTAATATCTGCTGAGAGCATTGGATGGTTGCAATGAAGCCCACTTCCTGTAACATTTTATCTTTTGGTTGAATAAAGCTGTTGCTTGTATGGCTTAAAAATTTAATGTCAATTGTATGTTATAGAAGAGGCTTTCTTCATTTATAGAAGAGGACATGGATGGACTTAGATAAATGTTTTGGATACAGCATTTTTTAATAATTTTGTTGAGATTATTTGGGTCTTTGAGATAGATGTTTGACTCAATTAAGCCAAAAACAACTGTTTGGCCTTGTTATATGAGTTTTATTTATTTATTATTTTGGTAAAATCAAATGTATTATTTGGAATTGTTTTCCCTAATTATGTTTCTTTTTGAACTGTTAAAATTTAAATATAGAAGTTGAGCACTTTCCTATTAGCTTAAGCTTTTGAGGTAGTTTATTGCTTAACTATCAAAGCAGAGTTCTGATAATGGGGTCTTGGTAATCTTCCCTTTGTTTTAATAATTTTTCACCCATTGTTGATGATAAAATTGATAAAAAATTATCAAATGTTTTGGAGAAAAACAATAAGCATCGTTTATCTAATTGTCTTTTTATTAAGCCTAAACATTTGTAAAAGTTTTAGCAGTTGAAATTGGTATCTAGCAATGTATTTTCTTCTATTTAGATGCTAAGTAACCAAAAAAGTTTGATTTTTCAATTCGAAAGTGGTTACATCAGGGAGGGGCTGGATATCTGTACTCAAATGAAAAGAAGAAAATAAACCAGAGAAACTCAGTTGCCTTAATGTTGTCCTTTCTTGTTCAGTTTCAGTTGGGAATTCTGTTGCTTCAACCCCTAAGTGTGGCCAAAAGCCCTCCTTCTTAAATTTCTTGTTCTTCATTATTGATTGGAATTACATTAATTTAATATTTAAACTGTGTGGAAGATGTTTCCTCAGCTTCCTTCTGTTATGCTTTATGTGACTTGGCTGGCATTTTCATTTGCAGGAATTATCTACTATACTGGATCATGGTTCAATTTCTTTCGGAAGATATGCTGGTGACTCAATTGCATGGGAAAAATGGTCAGTTTTCACTCACAATAGATGTCAAGAGGAACTAGAGAAATTCAAGGCCCCCGGATTAGTTGCTCAAAAGAAGGCCTACTTTGAAGAATACTACAAATATGTTAGAGCTATGAAAGAATTACCAGCTCATCAGCAAGAAACCTGCAGATCTGATCCTAGTCAAGAGACACAGGAGAACACAACACTTATAGGAAATGGTATTGATGCTGCTGTCGCAGAAAAGGAAGATAAACTGAGTAATGTTAGTCAAATTCAGATCTTAGACAATGCTAAGGCTATTCACCTGAATCCAAACAACTTGAAACCATCTTGCAAAGAAGCGGAAAGTTGCTCTAGTGGAAACAATCATGCTACCATAAAGGAAGGACCAAATGTCTCCACAAATATTGTTGAAGCAGAAAATTATTTTGGAGAGGCTTCTGTCCCTTGCTCTCCGCTGCTTGATGGAAATTCCGAAAGTGTTCAGCAAAACAGCATTGCCTTCGGCAAAATGAGTCAAACTATCAACGAACCGAGAAAGCATGGCACTCTTCTGGAGGATAAGGTAAAGAAGCAGAGTCTAATTTGCAATTGAAATTAACTCTGTTTTGAAGCTGACTCTTTTTAGATATTCTTCTGCTTGTCCAAAATAGTTTTGGAAAGCAGAGAGATAGAGAGAGGATGTAACCAGCTCAGTAGATTAAAATCTATCTTTTGAAGGTCTTTCTTTTCAGTCTAGTGCTGCTTCTGGTTTCCCTCCTTTAGCTTATGATAAAACTTAATCTTGCGATATTGGTTGATGGCATCAGCAACACACCTTAAGATCAATGATTTTCAGAACTATGTGTACCCAAAGTTGCAAGGCCAAATTCACAATCTGGTTATACCGTGTAACTTGCATTTATGTCAATTTTAACGTCATGGTATATATAGCCTCTTGTCTTTTTATCTAATCGTCATGATAAATAATTGTCTTTTTATTAAGCCTAAACATTTCAGAACTATATATACCATATTATTGTAATACTCTCCATCCACATATGTCATACGCTTTTATTTCCATTTCTTTCTTTCAGAACCCGTAGTTTTAATTTGCACAATCAAATGCTTAAGGTAGCTGATGTTCTTAATTTTTGGTTTTTAATTCTAAATCAGGGAACTGTTGCTTTTGTGATAAACAAAGCAAAGGTAAGCAGCATAACTACAAAAGATGCTGTTATGAAATCCAAGCCAAAGCCATGTTTTCAGCAGCAAGCTACTGTTAAGGTCAATAAAAGTGTCCCTTCAAGAAAAAAAAGCACTTCGAATGCTGTAGGAAATATTAACAGACAAATTACTGAACCACACTCCAGTTTCCCTAGATTGTGTGTGTTGTCGGCAAGGGGTAGGGTGGTGTCATCTTCTTCTAGCTCTAGCATTAGAAAAGCGGAGGCCAAGCCAAGTTCAAATTCTCAACATTCAAGAACCAAACTAGAAACAAAGTTGCTAATTCAAATTCCCAATGTTCAAGTAACAAGGCTGGCGTCATCTACTTCTACCTCTAGCATTAGAAAAGCTGAATCCAAGCCAAGTTCAAATTCTCAACATTCAAGAAACAAACTAGAAACAAGGTTGCCAGTTCTTTCCAGATCTGCTAAGGTTGATCAACCTGCTCATTTCTGTTTATTACTTTTAGTTATCCTTTCTCCTAAGGGCTTCCTGACTGGTACACGACATACTTTCGCAGAGCATTTCCGAAAACATTGCTCTAACTGATGGTCTCAGAAACATGGCTCATGACGGGAGGTCAAGTTTCGTACACTGTTAACCTCCTCTCACTCGATTTTTCGCTTACTAAATTATTAACATTCTGGGGTAATCGTATTCTTAATAGGAAGTCGTCAGAGTGGAGTAAATGCCATATGAGATCAGGGGTTGAAGAATCTACCAGCCAGAGATCAAAAGTGAAGTAGGCATCTCTGTTCGTTGATAAAAGAGATCTGTACTTTTGCATTACTTACTGAGTTTTTTGTGCTTTTCTTTTCCTTAAAGATTAGATCTAGTGCATGATTTTGGAAGTCTTATTTTTCATCATGTTAAAATCAACAGATTCAGAAACCTCTATGCTCAAGAAAAGTCAAATAACAGCATTGGAGTTGAACGGTTCAGGAGTTATAACAAAGAGCTAAAACAGGAAGAGGTATGCTTTAACCTGATATAAATAGAAATAATATGGATGCAGGGGTAATCTAAACTTTGAATTTCTTTTTCGTGGAAAAATCAACTTTAAGAGCAATGGGGATTTAAAATCAGCTACTATGTTAAATGAAACTTTCAAGAAATAATTTAGGAACACATTTAGTTCATTTAGGACAGAGTAATAGTTTTATCCCAAAGTTATTGAAATGATATCTTTATCATTTCAGTGGAGATGGATGGGGAAGCTGTTCAGTCTTAGCTATTAACATCCCGAACAAGTCATTAATACCCATTACATATTTGATATAGGTAGTCGTTAAAGCATTTTTTGGAATTTTCAAACATTTGGAGAGCTTTTGGACAACACTGTTCCTGAGATTACAACTAGGATCCTAATTTCATTACGTTACCAAAATATTCTTACATGAATCTATATAAACAAGCCAGGTAGATTTTCTAGTTTATAAATAAGATAAAGTTTGTTTTCTGAGAAGAGTTAGGCAAGACCATATCTTTGGTTTTTCAATTCTGAAATTCCTTGTTTTATAATAAATTGTTATGTTTATCCCTATTATTATTGTGAGCTCCTCTTCTGTTGCAGAATTATTGATGACAATGAGCTGGTTCTTTTCAGTTTTATAGTGGATATTTGATAGAGCTTTAGTATTAGTGTGAATCTCAAACCAGTTATCATATAAATATTTTGATTCCTAAGTAATTTTACTACCTAGTAGCATACTCAGACTATGTATCTTGGGGTTTAGAATTTGTCAAGGTCTTGCATTCAAAATAATCATACAATTCCATGTTTAAATTATTTGATTTCGCAGAATTACTTTTTGGGAAAGCTAAGAGTCTTTCTGAATTCTCTCTATGATATTGTTCAATATTTGGAAAAATAAATAATATTGAGATTATATTCAATTTATGTGAGATGGGATTATATAAATAATTGACCAAGCTAATGAATTAATTTCAAAATGGAAGCTACTTTATCTTGGTGGGTTTATTGTTTTGTGATTACGAGCAAGAAGTGGATGATAATTAAGTTGCAAGGGATAGGGCCATAGGGGGTTGAGGTGACCATTGAAGAAGTTCAGATTCTTGTGTATGTTTTTGCTAATAACTGCTTCCCAATTTGATGGTACGGATCTGCTTCCTTATTGTATTTGATTAGCATTTGAATTTGATGCATTTTATCATTTAAAGATGTGATGAAGGATCTTTAGTTTCAAAAGCCATCTAGTATCTTATTTTATTACTTTTTAGTTACAAACTTTGTGTTCAATTAATTTGATTACTTGAGAGTGCAAATCAAGAGCACATTGTGTATTTGTGTGTAGGGAAAGGACAAGATTCACGTGGGACTCAGAAGAGATGCAAAACACACGTCAACCCTGTTGTCTCGAACTAACAGGGTTTCAGTCCAAAAGCTTGCTCACAAGGTCTTTCCTAGCTTACTCTAATTCTCAATATCTGTACACATTTGGAGTGTATGTGTTAATTTCCATTCCTTGAAACAGTTGAGCTGGTTATATTTTGTTTTACCTAGAAATTGTGATATTGTCATTATTCATAATTAAATATTTCAAATGATCTATTTATTTTATCCTTGGTTTGTGTATGATATGAAGTGATGTGGTTATGCTTTCAGATTGTACCTCTGGAGTCTGTAAAACTTAAGTGTGATGTAGCAGAACAAAGGTATGGCATCTCTATTTGGCTTTTTCGGTTCCCATGTCCTGTTTGTGACCATTTTTGCTACAGCTCCAACTCCTCTTCAAGGGTTGGGAAACTTCTTTCAGAGTGATCTGCGATGATCATGTTGTGTAGTTGTTTTAGATATGCATTTCTATGCATTTATATATCAACACTTGTAAATATATTTCACTTATTCCAATCACTTTTTTTTTTTTACGCATTTTCATTTTTGACTAACCCACATTATACAGGCAGAAGAGGCCAATCTGGCGGTGGTGAAAGTGAGACGAGGGATATTGAGGGTCTCTGCCTTATTCCAAGCATGTTGAATCAGTAAAGGTTTTCTAGGATGCAAGAGAATGGAATGAGAACTTGTATATATATGTTGATAATTTTAAATACATATTTTTCTTAACCTGTAAATGCTGAGAACAAATGTATTCATTGTGCAAATGTGCCATTGGAATTAATCAGTAGTCATGTTTGTGTCACATAACCATTATTCTCTCTTTTCAAAATTGACTTATCAGGGTGTATAGTACTAATGTTTTTATATCTCATGATCCCTCTTTCATGTGCGATGTGAGATTGGAATATTTTGTCTATTCTCCTTTGGAGGGTTTGAGATGACATTTTTCCTCATTTAATCTCGTGACGTCATCATTGCAGAGACTGATCACTGTCAACCTCATTTTGAGGGATTTGGCGTGGGTCGAACAGTTTAAGATTTGCTCTGATATTATTTGTCATGTGATCAATATTTTTTTTTTTTTTAAATTGACTTATCAAGGTGTGCAGTGTCAATATTTTTGTGTTTTAGTGATTTCTTTTCCATATTCGATGTAAGATTTGAATATCCTACCTATTTTCTTTAGAGCACTTGACTTGACATTTGATCACCATCGATGAATGATCGTTTGAAGTGTTAGATAATGAATCGTTTCAAGTTTAAGATGACCTGAAATGCTATCTAATCTAATATAGTTGGCCTTATTCCGGGCCCTCTTTCTTTGTCATCGATTAATAGGCTATGACAACTTTTTCAATATTATTAGTTATTAGGGATTCTTCCGGTTTTTTAAATAAGAGAATTCAAAAGTAGTAGAAGTAAAAGTAGGGTGATTATTTTTTATTAACACATAATATATTGTTCACTTTTGGAAGTTTGATTTAAATCGGAATTGATCTTTTTAAGAAATTGAATCAATCTTTTTAAGAGATCGAAATTTATTTATTTGATTTGATTTATCAATTTTTAAAAAATATATTTTAAAAATTGTTGTTGTTATTTTTGTTATTATTTTTAATATATTTAAATAGATATAGATATAGATATAGATATAGATATAAAATGATTATTTAAATTTTATAAAAATTTAAAATTTAAAGAAAAACTAATAAAAACAGGATTCAATTTAGTTTATATATTTTCATATTTTTAATTTCATAATGTGAAAATTGATTTGAACCAAACTAAAATATTTAATTTCCAATCAAGATCGAACTGAATGAAAAAAAAAAAAAAAAAACTCAATCCAGATTGAATAAAAAATAACAATTTTGAATCATTTATCTTTTTTTTTTATTTTTTTTCTCAGTCCTAGCCCTAACTAAGAGAGTGGTTGGATTATACTTAAATAACATTCACTAAAGATTTATATGAGTGGTTTGTGAACTATATTTAAATATCACTAGTATCTTACTTGCGCTTTGCTGGAGGATTTACTTACTTCGTTTTAATTTTTTTTTTGTTATTTTTAATGTAAGTATAATCTACAAAACATAAAAAAAGTAAAAATTTACACATATGAGATCTTGATCTTCAATAAAATATCAAAGATAAATATGATGATAGGATATAGCTATAATTCGAAACTAAGAAATTAAAATGATTAAATTGTAAAGATATACTAAATATCATATCTAGAAAAAGAATAAAGGAATAATACCTATTAACCATAAGCAATTAGCCAAGAGTTTCTTTTTTTTGCCCTATTAAAGAAAGAATGGAGCTTAAGGAATGCAAACATTTTTAGGAGTCTCATCATACACTTTACTTTGGATTTTTATCGTTATAAATAAATTTTAAAAGCAACCATGGCAAAGCTAGTAATTAAGTACTATAAATAAACTTAAATTAAGTATCTTAAACATCATTTAAGACACGTAGGTCATGTTTGATACATATGATTATTAATAGGATAGGATAATAATTATCATATATCATGTTTAATTTGTATCTAAAGAGAATGATAGGGATTGTAAGGAGGATAATATCCTCTTGGTATAGGATTATTCAATCCTCCCCAAGTGGAGAGAATTATTTTTAATCTATGGGATTAAACTTACATGTCTAATTATACTCTTAAAAATTATATCAATAATTTAAATTGTATAAACTTTGAAGAAGGATAATTTTGACAAATAAATAAATTATCTTATCCTAATCCTTGTATACATCAAACACAAAATAAAATGACATTGTTTAGTCTAATCTTATTTATAATATTATCTTATCTTATCTTGTTATATCTTATGTATCAAACATGACCATAATCTATTTTGTGATAAAAAAAACTCTTACCATTTAAGGCATATAATAAATTTAACAATGAATTGAGTATACCAACTCAATTATTGAGAGGTCATGTAGCATTAAACCTTAAACAAAATTTTAATACATAAGTGAACATGTAAACTTAAGCTAAAAATTGAATAATTGAAAAAATTACTCATTTTTATGATATACAATCAATCAGAAAAAGTAAAGACTAAATAACCATAACAAAAACAAGTTTAATTAAAAAAAAAAAAGAGCTTACCTTTTGGGTGATGAGCTTACCATAAGTAAAGCCCCTAATATCATTAACTTTAACAATTCATTTTTAGTTGATGCTATAACCTGCCATTTCATTAATGTTTTTTTAAAATATTACTATTAATAAGGAAAAAAGTAGAACCAAAAAGGAAGTATAAGTCAATCTCCAATAAACAAAAAAAATTAAAAAGTTCCTACCTTTATAATTAAATATGTTGTCAATCCAGATGATGTTCATGCAAACATCAAAAAAGTGCACTCTTTGCCATTTTATCCAATGGCCAAACATATTGCAATCACATAATTTTACTTTGATGGTAATTAGCATTGTGCTGATAAAGGAGCTCATGAGGTACCGCATTCTTGAAGAGACTTAATTCACAACTCTATAATGATTGGTTGTTAAATTTGCTAAATGATAATCCTAATTTACGTTTTGATTAGAGCTAGGTTAAACTTTTTCTATGAACAATGCAAAGCAAAAGAGAAAATAATAAGATAAACACAACCATAAATATAAGAGATGGTCTAATCTGTTGCATAATCACTTTTAAATACCATGAAATAAACATATCCTTGTTTCTTCTTTCTAAAATATAAATGCTAATCAATCTTGTATATGTTTAGCCTTTATATTTTGTATTTGCCACATATTGGAGCTTGAGTTTGCACCATAGGTTTTGTCTAAAAATTTTATGAACCAAGAAAATCTTCTTTACTATCAATAAAATTGGATTGGATTTTTTTTTCTTTTTCACTTTTCAATTTTACCCCTAAGTTTTTGTAACTTTTCTCAAGCTTGGTGTGAAGGGAATTGTGAATCAATATACAAAGTAATAGTAGTGGAATTTAAAAAATTTCAACTCCTCAAAGCCAAGATCAATTAACAAAATCATTCAAACATAACACATAGTTTCAGCTAAGAGTAGATTACCTTTTTTGTCGACTTTACTTAGTATCAAGCAAATAATCACTGAATTTGTTTTGTAAACCAAGAGCTATCTAGACTTGTAGCCTCAAATGCTGATCCATACCAACAACTATGAAATCGATAATCTAGCTAGTAATGATGGAAGGAACAAAATCGATAATCTAGCTAGTCATGACCCCAATTGCTAGAGAAAGTCAATATGGCTTGACAACCTATACATGCATGGTCTTGATATATAATTACTATCTTTTTATCACTAAGCATCTCGACTTGAACATTGAGCATGGTTTAGTGTCTACTCAATCTTGTTCAACCATGTTAAGCCTTGTCTTTGACATTAACTCATAAATAAGCTTTAGAACAATTCTAACTCTTATTTCACTTTGGACAAAGATTTTTATAGTTAATTTAATGCAGACTAGTTGAGATACTTTCTTGTCACACAAAGTGATAAATTATATTTTGATTACTTCATGTATCTTCATATGCTTTATATTATACCCAACTATACTTGACTGGAGCATTCATGATTAGAATCATAAGTAAAGTCAAATTATAACACTCATCATATAAGATCATAAATAATCTCAAGTCAAAGAATTACTTATACAACCATCACATAAGAATGTAGTTATAAACATTATGTGAATTACTATATAGCATTCTCATCTTGGGTCATGTTCAGTGAACTTGTTCTTATAACAAGCACCCACGTGTTAGCTCAAGTTTACCCAAATTTTAACTTATAAGAACAGTTGCTTGTTACATGAGCAAGAGCATAACCATGTGCTAGTCTCAACAATTTTTGTCAATATCATCTTATTGATGAAGCATCAAGTAGAAACTTTTAAGAATATATAGCTTTAATGCAATAAGGATCTCATAATTACAATATTTGTAATTTTTTTGCAAAATTTTATTTATATTTCGAGGATTTTATCATATATGCATCAAGGATAAAATATACTTATACAAGCTTAATGATAAAATAATCAAGACCTTTATAAGATCTCAAATATCAAATATCAAAGTATCACAATATGACAATGTTTTCACCAAAATTGATTCGGCTTGATAGGCATATACCAATAATCTCTCATTTGCATTAAATCCATCATTTATGTATTTAATACCATATTTGATTACATATTTGTCTTGTTTTTGTTTGGTCAATGCTTTAGTAAAAGGATTAGCAATATTATCTTTAGTAGGTACTCGTTCAATTTTAACATCACCTCTATAAATGAAATCTCTAATGAGATGATATTGTCTCAATATATGTTAGGATCTTTAATGAGACCTTGCTTCTTCGTCTTGAGTGCTTGCATCATTATTATCCCAATAGACTATTATCAAATCAATAATGCTAGGAACAACACTTAGTTTAGTTATGATTTTTTGATCCAAGGTAACAGCCTTTTTTGTAAACTTAGATGTGAAGATGCAACTGGCTTTAGTTGTCGAATCAGCAGTTGTACTTTGTTTGAAACTTTTCCAACTCACTATTCCATTATTCAAAATAAAAACATAACCATTTTGAGACTCGTTATCATATTTGTCAAATTGAAAGCTTATATCACTATAACCCTTAACTTGGATTTCAGTTCCACTACATACAAGAAACACATCTTTAGTCTTTTCAAGTACTTAAGAATTGTTTTCACGACTTTCCAATGACACTCACTTGGATTTGCTTGATATTTACTTGTTATGCTCAAGGCAAATAAGATATCAAGCCTTGCACATAACACTAAATATATGATAAATCCAATTGCTAAAGCATATGAAACCTTATCCATATGATCTTTCTCAATTTATGTCTTAGGACACATGTTTTTAGAAAAATTTATGACATGCAACATTGGTAAGAATCTTTTTTTGGACTATTCCATGCTAATCTTTAGAATTTTGTCTATGTATCTCGATTGTGAAAGACTAAGCAATTTATTTGATCTATCTCTATAGATCTTTATGCCCATCACATACGTTGCTTCTCTTAAATCTTTCATGGAAAATTTCTTTAATGACCAAATCTTGGTAGATTGTAGCATAGGTATATTATTTCCTATAAGCAATATGTCATCCACAAATAACACTATGAAAACAATTACAATCTTATTAGTCTTTTTGTATACACAAAGTTCATCCATGTTTTTATGAATCTAAATAATTTAATTGTTTCATCAAAACATATATTCCAACTCCTTGATGCTTGCTTAAGTCCATGATTGAACCTTTAAAATTTGCGCACCATGTTGGCATTATTTTTGGATTCAAAACCC